GGATGGATGGATGGATGGATGGATGGATGGATGGATGGATGGATGGATGGATGGATGGATGGATGGATGGATGGATGGATGTTGATTAAAAGTGTGAAGTATTAATAGTGATCTCAATAAGAGTGACTAGGGATTTCTACAAAAAGTAGCTGTCCAAATCGTCCCAATAATCATTGTCTTTGTATGTGACTGTTTGTAAATCTACAAAAAAAGGATTTCCGTATTTACATTGCTTTTGCCATGTCAACATTTCAATATAATTTGATTTGAGCAGCAGTTTCTTTGCCTTACCTGGCCTCTGTTGGTCTTTCCGCCTGCAGATAAGCAGCGAGAAGCGACCCTCGGCAGAAATGATGAAGCCCAAACCCAAACCTCAAAAAAAGAAAAAGAAGAAGGACCCCAATGAGCCACAGAAGCCCGTGTCAGCGTACGCGCTCTTCTTCAGAGACACCCAAGCAGCCATCAAGGGCCAAAACCCCAATGCCACCTTTGGGGAYGTCTCCAAGATTGTGGCGTCCATGTGGGACAGCCTTGGCGAGGAACAGAAGCAGGTAAAAAAAAAAGAAAAGCTGAAAGCTAAAACCAGTAAAACAGTTTCTAAAACAACCAGAATAAATGATCACCTTTTATGTGCAGTGTTCTTATCTAAACTTTAAACATGTTAAAACACTTTTTTWTGTGAGCATTAATTGCCTGCTGTGCAGTCATTGTGAAATTTTAAGGATTAACAAATGTGTGCTAAGTGCTAATKGAAAATTGTGCCACATGGGCTCTGGGTAGATCCTTGCAAAATGTAGAAGTAGAAAAATAGAGTATTGTAGTAGCAGTATGATCAAAATATTACATGATGTCAGGTTACAGCGACAAGTTTTAGTTAAGTCACTAAGTTAACAGCATTTAACGTTTTTAATTTTTTACAAAAATCATTTAAAAAATTGGTTTCATGGTCACAAACTTCCAGCTGATGTGTACTTCAAATTGTAGAGAATACATTTTCTGCATAAAACAATGAGACATCTGTGCTACTATAGATCTAATGTCTCACTTACAACAATGTTTAGATTCTGGATGTATTTGTCGATCTGTGCAGAGCTGAGTCTCATTTAATAAYGATCTGTATCCATATGGAAAAGTCCATATAAAACAAAATATTTATGTGATTTGTAAAATGAGCTCTTGTAAAACAGTTTTATATGACTTTATATTGTGTGTGATGAGAACAAGCCTTAGTGAATACCTGAAAATTGGCACATATACTATACTTGTAAACATTTTTAAACATTTTACATTCTTCATCTGTTGTCCATGTTTCATCACACTTTCTTTTTTCATTTTAAGAATAATGTCCTTTAATTGACATAAACCTGTGCACACKCAAACATTTTGGCCCCCACCAATAGATGGCATGGGTGGGTGCTTCGACAGCCTTTTGTTGTCATTATCTTTTGTGTAATTACCAGAACATTGCTGTGAGTTACAGCTCACCTTAATGAGCTCTTCTCTTTCTAAAGATAATCCATCCGTTTATCCCCACTCCCCCGGCTCTCATTAAAATGATTTTCTTTCTAAATTTAATTCAACCAAAGGGATGGGAGAGAGCGAGTGGGGGAGTACTCTGTGCAACAATAAAACAGTCTGAGACYAACAAAGTAGGACATTTTACAAGCAAGCAATGGTCAATGTGGGAAAAGCGTAAACATGTCTTGGGAGATTTCAGCAGACACTGAGCGAGCGCTGGTTAAATATGCTTGTAAGCCATGTGCTAATACACCTCTGCAAAAGCAACATTTGGAAATTAAGCACAACATTTGCTGCTGCTTTACTTACTGCTAAAAATCACAATGCAAAAGTGTCTTTAGCGGTTTTTAACAGCACTGCAATGCCCATGAAAACTAAAAACTTATAGTATTAACAAAGTAAAAGGTCTGAGCCCGAGCCATTTCCTTTTCCCACCCTGCCTTACATAGCTTGCTACCATGCATCTTCATTTGCCCTCTGACAAGCTGGGATGCGTGAACTTCTCCTTTCTCTTTATTTATACTTCTTGCCTGCTATTTTGATCCTGCCTAGAATACACAATTAGTGATCCCCGTCCGCTACTGTCTCATCCTTGGTTTTAGCTGAAGGGCATCTTATTCGAACAGGAGGAAAAGTCTATTCTTTTTGTTGCTGCAGGATTTAATGTCATCTCCTGTTTGGTGATAATAATTTTAAAACAAAATGCTAATAATGACAAAGATGTGCAGTAGGAGGTCGTAGTTTCATGGGTGTTTCAGCTCCACTAAATATTTTTCAGTTAAATAAATGTATTGTTTTGGAATCAGCAAAGGTGGTCAAATTATTATGACCATTGACCAAAGATGAAAATGAAGCAAAACATGTTTTTGCACATGTCTGTTTGTGTGTGTGTTTGTTTATCTGAACCAGTTACAAAATGTTTCATAAATCACCAAATAAATTTTAATGAAAGTGTCAGAAAGTTATTATTTGCTGAGCGTTTACAATTTTCGGAGTCAACACAATGTGGCCACCACAGCGAATCAACCTTGGACTTCACAAAAATGATTTTAACTCAGCCATTTTTTAACAAATATTGCAGTTAAATTTGGTGTGATGATAGATGACAGTCATTCACAACTCATACTCCAACAGTTCATGCAAGACTACTAAAGATATTTCAATATACTGTAGCATGAGTGACCAAAATGGTGACAACTCCATCATTTCTCAATATAAAGTGATCTTAGTTTATAATTCTGGAATGAAAAATGGAAGGCATTATGCATTCTATAAGTGAGGCTAAGCATTTAAATATTTCCCCATCTTGGTTTTTGCATATTCAACAACATAAATATGTTACAAACAAACAGTACAAACACTAATTTCTTGAATATGCCTTATTGAGCAAGTAAACTCCATTCTTATAATAAAGTCTTGTAGTTCCAGAAGTAAAAGTAAAATTACATGAACAGAAAATTACCTAAAATAACTTTCACTGATGAGAAAAGTCATAAAACTGTTAACAAATATTGAGAAAGTAAAAGTAAAAGTACTTTTACACACTCTCTAAGAAATAAACTGTTGATTTTACTGAATCGAACTGGTTCCACTAAGCCAGAGGAAATTGTGCAAYATATTTATATTTGCTCAATTTACTAAATGAGGCTTAATGGAGCCAGTTGACGTGACTTTTTTGAGTAAATTCAACACTTCATTTTTTAGAGTGCACAATTATCTTCTTTCTTGATGAGTTCGAACATGTTTAATTTTGAAATGAGTAACTAGGTGTTACATTTTTATTTTAATTTTYAAACTTTATTCATTTCTTAAAAAACAAAGGTAATTCTATGTACAGTAAAAAAGAAAATACAAATAAAAAAATGAAATGAAAGGTGGCAGAGAGAAGAAAAAATTTAAAGTAAAGAAGCAAAAGTATCATTTTTAGCTAACAAAATAAAAGTAAAAGTAGCTATTTCAAAAAATAATTTGGTAAAGTTACAAATCCTCAAAAAAACTACTTAAGTATTGTAACAAAGTAAATACTTAGTTACTATAAACCTCTGTGTAGTTCCTTGAAAGCACCACATACAAAGTTTCATTCATTTCCAGCAATAAAACTAAAAGCAAGCACAAGCAAAACTCATAGAAGATGSGATGCTAATATGCCAAATAACAACAACCATTTTGGTTTAGCATGGACATCAGTATACTGGAAATGTTATTGTGCTGCTGAAGAGGGCACAAGAAACAAGAAAGTTCCAGTTCATTTCTTTAGGTGGATTGGAAAGGAAATGATGTGTTGCTACAATAGAGGGAGACACATTGAGATGAGGGGAGTATTAGTGTCATGATGAGGAAATAGAGGTGTTCTGTACCATTGGCTCTGATGGAAAGGGAACCATTACAGACATGTTTGTGTGCAGCATGTGCCTTGGAGAGCTAAGAAAGCTTGTGTGTGCATGTGTGTGTGTGTGYGCASTGAGACCTGTGTGTCTGCACATTTATGACCACGTCAACCTCCTCTCCCATCTAAAGTCTCTTGTTTTGATTGTTGTTGTTGTTGTTTTCCTTCACAGGCATACAAGAGGAAAACCGAGGCAGCCAAGAAAGAGTACCTAAAAGCATTGGCCGCGTACCGAGCCAGTCTGGTTTCCAAGGTAACACTCGTGACACACAGACCCCGGCTAACAGTCGTGATGGATTGGATGGAAAATCCTTGCTAATGGGCTGGGTTGGGGTGGGGTAGGGTAGGGGGGTTGGGGGATTCTCCCTTGGATGAGACTGTGGTGGGTGCTGAAGAGGGTTTTTTTGTTGTTGTTTTTTGGAGGGGGGGGGGGTCTTATGCAAAAAGAGAAGAATATATTTGTAACAATACTTGATTTCCATAGAATGCAAATGGGGTTTGCCAATAGTGACACATGGTGGTACAGTAGGGGGATGGGGTCACTCARTGAGAACATGTAGAAAATAATTATTCTTTCAGTTGCCTTAAAGGGGATAGTTCAGTTCTTTTGAAATGGGATTCTGTGGTAATGTGATGAACAATTAATTCCCCTCCGAATTACTTTAGTTTAAAGAAATAACAATTAGTTCAGACCAGATTGACAATTGTAAAGCTAGTTTAAGAAGAACCAAGACCAAAGTAGATAGTTTCTATTTTAACTGTAGTTTAAAAGTTAGTAAAGGTTGATTAAAAAAATCAGTCACATTAGGCACTCTGTATATTACTGCTGGAAATGCCTTAATGGAAGTGCTACACTTAGCTGCTACTGCTCTTTAAGCTGAAAATAATAAAAAAAAATAAATAAATAAATAAAAGTAAGGTGGATAAATGTTGATTTTCAGTGAAAACACACAGTAAATTCTGTGTTAAACGACCGCTGAAATTTGTTGACACAGCTAAAACTGATTGCTATGATTAGCAAAACACTAGGTAAAAGCTAAAATTAGCATAACAGTAGTTAAAAATAAAACCATTAAAACAGTAGCTAAAGCTACATTTTTCACAAAGGCCAGAATAGGAAAACAGTGACTAAAAGTTAAAATTTGCAAAATAGTACCTTAAAGCTAATAAACATTTTAATATTTTTTGGGGTTTATAAAGTTAGATACCAAAAATCACGGCATCCATTTCATAAATGATTTAAACTTTTTTTTTGATACATGAAAGGGTAAAATTGCCTAAAATGTGTTTGTGTAGTCAGACATCCAAAAATGCACAAAAGAAAATACAAACAGGAAAACAGTTTAGCATTCACACTAGCATGGAATATAAAACTGGCAGTGGTGTAAAGGTTTATTAAATTCTGTTCATAAGAGCCAATATAACATTTCTGAGGTTGAAATTGTTATAAGTAGCAACAATCCACTTTGATCATGGCTAAGCTCCAGTTAGATGTTACATCATCAATCCAGTCAGAATTAATCTCCTTCGATAAAGTTCAAATTCCATCACTAACAGGTAAGATACTATTTGTTCACAACCATTTTACAGAACCCCACTAAAGATCTGAACTATCTCTTTAGGTGAATTTGTTAAAAATTGTGAGTAGAAAATAAAAACCCTAAACTCACGTTTTGTTATGTTGCGTTATCATTGATTTCCTTCATTCACCATCTATAGGAAATACGTCACAAAACAACACAGGAAATCATTGGATTGCTTCTGTTTCCACCTCTGACACTTGACTGCTAATTCAGATCTATGACACACATTTTGCCCAGTGAATGATGGTGCCTGGTGTGCACAAGCACTGTAGCACTAGAGACAGAAAAAGAAAGGCAAGGAAGAAGGCTGAGGATTGCATTGTTTAGTGCCGACTTGTATTAACAGCAYGCAATATAGTGTTGGGAAGATTCCTTTTGTCATTCCATTTGTTCTGCAGGCAAACAGTCTCATTTCTCTGCCTAAGGTCCAGCATATTTGTATGTGTGCATGTATGTAGGTGTGTGTGCCTGCACCACTGYGTGTGTGTGCTCCTCTCCTTTTCCCATCTATCTGTCAAGGTGTCTATTGATCATTACCTCGGCCCCGGCTCTATTCATACAAATGGGCTCCATTACCTTCTAATCAACACTGATGGCTGGAGATGAGCAATCTGACAGCTCATCACAGAGGCCTGGAGAGAACRGAGGTGGGAGCGGGGCGTGGGGGGTGTCGCACCTGCTCGCTGTCCTGACAACAGAAAGGTCAAGGTTGTAGGATTTTGGTAGAGTTTGGTGTTTTCCTATCCAGCAAAGCGGCTGATTTCAAGCTCTAACCTGTTTCGCCATCTGCCAGTGTCTCTACATGAACATGTAAAGTGCTGCTAAATCACTAGTGAAAGCTGTCAGGACATAAAGAGCTTAAAGGTAAAAACAATAATTCTGCACTGGAGCACTAAGATCACTGCGGGCTTCACTCTAGTTTTAGTCTTTTGTTGTACTCATTGTGATTATTGATCATCATTTCACTCACCATCCTGCATGGTAGACTATAGCAGACAAAAAACTGTCAATAATTTCATCTGTCTGTGGAAAGACTCTAAAAAGAAAAAAAATCTCTTGTCTTATTGATTGATTGACTTCTTTTTTGTTAAATAACACCAACCCCCTCTTACAATAAATATTGTAGAAAAGTGAGGATACGCCTTGTTTTTGTCAATTCTCTCATCTCAGTATTAGCCAAAACACTTTTTTTATCTAATCACACTAAAACAATCATCTACCAATGATATGTTTTCGCTATCTGAACAGCGTTAACTCTAAACACCACAGAACATATTGAAAAGTCATGCCAGAGTATTCACACCAACCCTGTTTAGTCCACTTGAATCACTTTTGCTAGAAAGTCTGGTTCGTTTAAGGAGTTGTGAACATGTAATTGAACTCTGATGCGGACCAAAAAGGYAAACTCTGGTCCACCTAAAAACRTAGGTCTCAGTTCGGTTGAAGTGRACTCTGGTGCAGTAATGCTTGTGTGAACGCCAAGCGGGCCGGAGACCGCTCCAAAAGCAGGAAGTAGCTCAGGACATTCTGAGTAATAATAGTAATAAAGTTACYCAAATACCTCGCTCGACGTCTGTAAAAGGGCGGACATCACTGCTTTGAAGTTGGATGCGCTCCTACTCGGTGCACGCCGCCTCATGTGGAGCCGTTTCAGCCGCGCTGTGTGAAAAACAACATCCTCCACGGTTCTTCGGCTCATGCTGAGCCCTTTGTTTTTTTTGAGTGTTTGTTCGGCACAACCGCTAAAATCTGACGTCACTCYGTGTTTGTTTGCATTTTGTGAAGAAGGAAGTTGCGCTAAGTGTCKTCTTCAGAGGTTTTCATGTTCATCCTTCATTGGTTCTTGTTGCAGCGCCCCCACAGGCGAGGCGGGGAACAGGTTGTTCACAGGGTTTGGTTTGTTTGACAAAGTGCAGTGTGAGAGTGAACCACACCAGCTCGAAATGTAAACAAATGTTGCAATTTTGGTCCCAAATYGAACCGAGTCTACCAGACTACCTGGTGTGGATACAGCCTTATACTAAGGTCATTTATTGATGAGAAGTAACAGAATAAAGGTAATTTTGGTAAAGCCTGTGTTGGCAGCACTGGTTGTGTCCRATCAGTTTGGCATTGGGGGAGTTTAGGAGCAAAACGAATCATTTCGGCTGAGTTTTTGTTTTGAGACCTGAGTTTTGGCTTCTGCTTTTAGCAAAAGATGTTACTATGGAGGATAGACTCAACTGAGAGTTCGACTTTTGCAGTTTTTATTTGTCTTTGCAAAGTGAAGCCAATTTAAAAGCGTATTTTTGTGTAATAAAAATCAAACAAATTAACTCGGCTTGTTTAATAACCTGCTCTTCTAAAATCATCTTCACAAATATGTGTAACCAAGCTTTTCAGCAAAAGTTGTAAAGGAAAATAACTCATTTCAGACGTTTTATTTTGTGGCAGATTACTGCGTTTTCAAAATAATTGATTAAAACTTTGCTGAATAATAAAAGATAAAAACAGCAAATTGTCCTCTGGATTGAAGTTCATTTCTTTCATGTGCTGATTAAAACTGTGTATTTTATTTTTATTTTTTTTAACTCCACAGACATACAGTGACCCTGAACCAAAAAGTGCCCAGCAGACCAGCCAGCCCTCCCACCTGCTGCCCCCCAAACAGTCCCTGTACAGCGTGCCCCCTCAGCCTTCTTCACCTTACCTGGGCCCACCGGGCTCCTTCCCTCTTTCGGAGCTCCAGAGCTACGGCGGACCACCCCGCCACACCCTGGCCCCGGCCCTCGGCCAGTCCCAGATGCTCCCGCCCAGCATGAGTGCCTCTCCTCCAGCACCCTTCCAGATCAGCCCACCTCTGCACCCGCACGCTCAGCTCTCCCTGCACCAGAGCTCCCTGCTCAACCAGCCAATCCGCATGCAGCAGTCGCAGCCAATCATCTCACACCAAATGGGGCTCCAGGCGTCTCTGAACTCCCCTCCGCTCGGCCAACAGGTTGGTGCGAAAACGGGTGACATGATGAATTACCGCACGAGCTTAAATTTCTCCCATGTATTGAATTTGTGACAAAAACACAACAATCGCCTGTAATTACTTAACGGTAGTCTGACACGAACATATTTATGACACCTAAAAGCAATAGGAGCGTGCTGTGAGCCAACTGTACTGGTATAAATCACAAAATGTTGTTCATTTAGTMGCAAAATGTATTTTCTTTCTGTTCTTTACTGTGTGAAATCTTTATTCGAGCAGCAGGGTTTCATGTTAGAGAAGAAGTGTGATTTTTAGCGGGCCGTCGATACAGCCCAGTGTCGTCAGTTAGCTTCAAGCCGTGTCATAGCTCAGCACACAGTGAAGGCTGACCATCACAAAGCAAAGCTAACTGTAACCTGTCTGTTTCTTCTACAGGGATTCTCCCATCTTCAGGCTGACTACCAGAACAGCGTTGGGGGCTCGCAGTCTCCAGGGGCGCCCAATCCAGTGCACGGACAGAACCCCGACTGGGACGGCGAGTACTGCAACAGAGACTGTGGACCCAACCACTGCGGGTAAGCTCATAACGCCATTCGCCTTGAACTACCTCTTTTTTTTTTTCTCTTTTCTGTAAAAAAGAAAATGCTCTGACCCTTTTTAGTGCCGCTCAGAATGTTTGGTTGTTGAGAATACTGAGTAGTTGTGTCACGGTTAATCGTTTTCCAAGCGAGTTACTCTAAAGCACTTCTCTTCACACTCTGAGACTCAGACAGTATTAATCATAAAGAGCAATTTACCTGCTAAAGCAATGTATCTTCTTGAAAATGAAATGAGTAATGCAGCACAAGAACAAAGCTATTACAGCGCTCGGGGTGAGAAAAAAAAAAGTGTCGACATCCAATTAAGTTTCCCCGTGTTTCGCTCTTTACACATCACTTTACTGAATATTATTAAAGGCATTCAGACGAGCACCAGAAGGATGTTTGGTCTCCCGCCTGAAACTGGGCTCAGAGAGGCAGCTGAGCGAGATGTTATGTGTCTCCTGGATTTGAAGCTGATTCATCTGTATGCCAAATGGGATCATGCCTGGGTCAAATCGTGTTTGACGCTCTGAAGATGATTGAGTCTTTGCTTTAAACCTTCACTCCGTGTGTCAGATCGTCTTAGTTTGGACTTTTGGAAGGTGCTGGATTATTTCCAGTTTGTCAGTAAAGGTAACTGCGGAAAGAAAGAAAAAAAAAGAAGAAAAACAACTTCAAATCTGACATTTCAAATACCAACTGATCTGCTAAATTTGAACTCGTGCCTATTGATCTTGGTTGTTTGTTGACAGCTTTTGTTTTGCTTAAACCAAGTTTTCATTAAAAAATGATTTTCCTGGTAGAATATACTGTCACTGTATTTGCATTTGTCCGTGGATCGTGTTAAATATTAATATACTACTTGTGTTTTTTGTTTGTTTGTTTGTTTTTTTCCAGCAGTGGGATGGGAGCTCGGGACAAGCCTCTCTACCTCACTTGAAGTTAAACGACCTCCACATGTCAAACTCCAGAAAGCTTTCTAACATAACAACAGCATCGTCGATGTATCTGCTTTCACACCGTTTTGTTTTCTATCTTTTTTTTAATGGATTTTGAAAATCCCAAAGACTGCTACAGTAACTTCACCTTTTTGCCAAGCACTTAAATCGGCCACAAGCCTGAGGCACTTCCTTTACATTCTTTTTTTTTTTTTCCCCTTCTCCTCCTTGTCAGTGAAGAGTTTTCTGAGCTGGCAGTGAGCTTTAAGCTCATGCCGACATACTGGAAATATAAGGACCAAAAAAAAAATGTCTTCTCACATTGTTTCCTTTTTTTTTTTTTTTTTCAAAAAGAAGATTTCTTTCCTCTTCACTCCATCACTCTGTGTTTGCCATGAACTGCCCTTATTAGGGAGATGAAATGCTCAAAGCATAAAGGTTTAAGTAGGGGAATCTAAGAACTGAATATAATCACCAGATCCAGGGTGGATGGGCATCAGGACGATCTAAAACCCCCCGGCTGAGTGAAAGCAAAGCAACATTTTGATAAAAGGTGTAGTCGCAAACACGTGAGAYATTTGTAAATCATCTTTTCTCTTAGTAAAGGACTCCCTCAACTCCTTTATCACTGAGTGATTGTAAATATCACTGAAATGGATCCCTCTTATGTGTGTATTAAGCTGCAGTCCCTTGCTTTTTTTTTATATCCTTTTTTTTTTTTTTTTTTT